ATATGGTGATATAAAATTTCGAAATAAAGTTTTTTTTTGGATACTTTTGTCTGGGCGTGTAAATAAAAATTTCCTTCGTAATAAACAGTACTAGATATACCATACTAAGTAAATTCAGTATAAAAAATTTGGGGCCCTCTTCCTTCAACCACATGTATATAGTGTGGATAAGGCTATAGTTATTAAAAAGTCCTCTAGAACACGCACCTGAAAATTCAATTGCATCCTATCCTTACCAACAATGGTATCCATGAAATCATTGATTTGAAGATCGTACGGAATATTGTATTGTTAACAATAAGGTTCAAAACAGTATAAATTGTTTGAAAGGTCGTAACTCGAAAATCGATCCGACCCGGTTGATTCGAATTAATTTCATATTCAAATCTGCATATAACCACACTCTGACGGTCTATATAAAAATACACTCTCCCTCTTTTAGCGAGAAATAGAAATCCTACTAAAATCCTGAAAAGATTTTTAAATTGCTTTGATTTTGCTTCACTTCCTGAAAACTTGAAAGAGTCCTACGCGCATCCAAAATCCATAAATTGGTCAGATGATGATTTACCATTAATCAGTTTAATAGTTTATCTTCTGACGAGTTCGCTAAAAACGTTCGTCCATATTTTAAATCTTCTGAGAATGTGAATTCTTATTTAGATTCTGATATGGAACTGTTGATAAAAAAAATTGTTAATTTAAATATTGTCCTCGTTCTATCAAATACTCTCGCGTATCCCAATATCGATAACCTAAACATATCTGTACAGATGTGATATTTGTGTACAAAACATTAGAACTATCAATCAACTTTCTGTTTACTTACACCCTCAATCTTCCCAATGCCTTCAAGAACACGGCTTCGAATTTTATTGGTAGCATGTTGCTTCGACTTTGGTACTTTTTGTTTCAGGCTAGACTGTTCTTCTCCGAACCAGATGTACATACCGCCTAGAAATTCGGATGACAAATCTATGATGGAAGACAATCCAAGCCTACTCAATAGATCTCTTCGTTATATTTGTAATAATTAAAACGCGTAAAAGTATACCTAATACCCTCACTGTATAAGCGGTCAGCCTTTTATTTTTAGAATTTCTAGAATCATTAATGTTGATTGTGAGAGAATTTCTGACAAATTCTCCGCTTGACAACTTCCATTCTAGATTACTGGGTTGACTACTTCGTCAAAAGATA